TTCGTTTTTATTTAATTGGTTTAATGAACTTTGTATTATTATAATTACTTCTTGAGCTCTGAAAATTCACGGGAAAATTTTAGAGAATATTTTAGGGCGCAAAGAATATTACAAAATATTCCCGGCCATGATTTTTAAAGGAAATTTTAAATTCCCTCAATAATTTCACTTGATTAAATTGCTTTACTTTTATTTAATTTCTAGAAAATGCATTATTAATTGATTTTTAATCCTGAATGAAAATCGGGGCATTACAACAAACCCCCACACTTAGCTCTTTACTCATCTCGACTAAAGGTTAAGGACTATTGTGGAATAAAACATCCCAAGGTATGGTACTAGTATACAATTTATTCTAAGCCACACCTATACCTATGAACTTTGCAGTGTCTATCTTACCATCTTGGGTAATTGATAAATCGAATGGTCGTGACTCAAGTCGTTCCTGTTCCTCCTGTCAATCACTTGAGTTTTTCATATATTTTCAAAATATAGCTATACTCCTCATATGACTCTCTTGAATCACTCATTTTGATTGTTGGATCCTCACCAAGGCATGTATTGCCGAATTGTCCCTATTCTAGAAGGCTATATATGTGGAGCTCGGTAGGGATCAATCGGGGTGTACCTGCATCACATATTTTGCCAGGCCAAAAAAGGGGCCCCAAGGAGATAGCAAGTCACACTTTCTGATCAAGAATGTGCATGTGTATGATTGTGGGTGGAAAAGGAAAATGATAACTCCTTCTACACATCTTTCTCCTTCTTTTGAGACTTGAGAGATGGCATGGCTATCTTTTTGTTCTCATGCTTCATATTTGTATGAGCAAGACTTTATTATTTCTTTCTTTCTTTCTTTTGCATAGCCATGCCTCCCTTTTCCTTTGAATGAACTTTGGAGAAAAATACATAAATAACGAGGAGTATTTATTTTGTGGATGATGGATGAAATGGACACTAGCTTCTAGTGTAGAAGTTCAGGATGTTAATCTATGTGGAGTGTGTGTGATCTTGATCATAAAGCATGAAAAGCATCTCACATAGGTCACACACAAGGCTCAATGTAATGTCAAGCAACCAAAATATATGGTTTGCAAGATGAATCATATTTGGCCTTTGGTAGGTAATCATATAGTCACTAAGGAGTATTGCTCAAAAATTTATTTTTTTGCAAAGATAAAATCCCAAATATCATGACAGTTAGAAAGGAATTTCTTTTGTCATCTCCATATCACAAATATCAATTACTTAGATTAGCAAGGGTTCCTACAATAGATATATGTTCACAAGTAAGTGTTAGCAAAAATAAAGAGTGTACATGTCAACCATAGAAAAGTTTCATTTGTTGAGAAGCATGGTTTTCAATTTGGAGTCAAACTAATTTTTAACCTAACCCCCATGTTATTACTCCTTGTACCCCTTGCATTAATCATGCCTCTCCCGGTTTGACTTGCTGAGTACTGTGGTTGTACTCATTCTTGCTCAATCTTTCCAACCTTCAGTAAAAGAAACTTTAGAAAAGAAGTCCGAGGTGGAGTCTTGGCTTATACCCCAGTTGAGCGCCTATGAAGATGTTGTCGTAGGCCCGCTGGTCTGCTGCTATTTATTTTTTGTTTGTTAGGCCTGAAGAGCCTTTGTAATAATGTAAATATTATCGATACAATAAATATGTGTCTTTTGTATCATGATTGTTGAAGTGTACCCTGGCTTTTCCGGGGACGGGATCAATGCACTAGCAATTGGGAAAAGGTGTTTTTCAATCGCTACAGAGGCTGAGGATAAATCAATTTGTGTTGTGCACCTTTTGTACCATGTGTAGTGTGAGTGCCTAGAGTTTTCCTCCCCCTCTTCTGGTTGTTGGGTGTGCTTAGTTCTTGTTTGTTTTTATTCTTGAACTTGTGTTCAGAGGGCGGGAAGGAATTACCTAGACCCGAGGAACTTCATGTGTTTGTGTAATCTTGTTCTTTGTGTTTGTCTCCTAGTCATCTCATTAGGTAGACTGTGAACTGAGATAGAGATTTTGCATCACGGTTGGTAGTTTTGCTCGATTTAAGTTACAATAGAATAAGAAAGCAAAAAATTGCAATGCGGATGCCATATACTATTTATATGTTAGTTTGGACTTCTGAACAAGATAACAATGAAAATTCACGACAAAATTGACTCCAACAAAAGTTAGCAAACTCATGTCAACTCACATATTGAATATTCGAATAATAATTTGAAAGGGAAAGGTAATTATCGTTTCAAAGTCAGACCAAATCACCAAATCAACAAACACAAATCTCAGAAAGAAAATGCAACACCTGTGTTCAGAATAAGAAACAAAAGAAGGGATAGAACAATAGTCAATCACAAAATAATTAATGTTCACCAGTTTAAACTGGATTATTATTTTGATAAGGAGCAAAGGACCAGCAAATGAGAAAGCAACTAATGCCAGGTATCAGTCGGAATGTGACAAACATGTTGCACAGTACAACTTAAACATGACAAATAAATAATACGCACGAAAGCTGCGGTCTTGCAGCTAAATTATTCAGCAGTTTTGGGACACATTCACATCAAAAGAATGGAGCCCTTTCAGGGTTCGCTTGCTTGCAAGGCCTTTTACGCAGCTTTGTATTGGCAATTGGACGTTTCTGATTGGCATCTGATGCTTGGTTCCGTGAACGAGAAACTCGAGTTGAAGCTTCAGACCCTGAGAAGTCATTTGGTGATATACCTGCCTTTTTCTATCAGAATTGGAGAAGAGAGATATTAGAAAAAAAAAGTTAACAATAGCTAGTAGTCTAGCTACGTAGGGTGAAATCTAGTAAAGCACAACAAACAACCTTATCCATCAATATATAGCACATAGCTTGCCCACTAAACAAAATCAATTGAGTCAACATGATCATGATAAATAACAGTACTTGTGCATATATGATGAAAATAACCTTGCAGCTAAGTGAACAGGTGAGGCTGGGTGCATTGTGGAGCCAGCACTGGCAAGTCGTGCAGCGAGGTGTCCCAGCCTTAGGTCTGTGATGTTTGGACCTCTTCATGGGCCTTAGGTGCACTACTTTGTGCCCATTGCATTTGAATGTCTGCAAATAGAAACATAAAGGGACTGGTGTAAATACAAGTGATGAATGATTTTTAGTGACTCGGAATATAATAAAAGGTGGTAGCCTGAATAGTGCTTTAGAAATCATTTGAAGCCCATATATAGCTAGGAAGAAATGTCGAATTCTTAAACAAGTATTCAATCCCATACAGTGCATGCTCAATAAAATTTTAGGGAAGCTTATTGTCACTTGTCGGAACGACTTGGATCATAGTTTTAGTTTTTTTAAAAAAATAAAATGACACTAGACATATATAATCCAGTAACTTATAATGTGATCTAGAGCGATATTATTTGCATCAGTTAATGTAGAACAAATATACAATGTATCAGAGGATAATTACAAAATATGCATCGTATAGTTGAAAGGATATCAAACATGTATTATGTCAAAAAGACAAGATTGAAAAGTAGCAGATGAACATAACTTCCATTACTAAGGCCGAGTTTAGTTCCAAACTTTTTCTTCAAAGTTCTAACTTTTTCATCACATCAAAACATTTCTACACACACAAACTTCTAACTTTTCCGTCACATAGTCCCAATTTCAACCAAACTTCCAATTTTGGCGTGAACTAAACACACCCTAAAATTGTCTTGGTAAGCCCATCACATATGTCAGGAGTCAGCATAGATGAATACCAATATATTCATAAACTATGCAAACCAAACATGCATGATTTCCCAAGATGTATTTGTATGTACTTCCTCCGTCCCCCCCCCCCCCCAAAAAAAAAAAAGAGTCTAGATTCATCCCTAGAATTGAAATTTTTTTGGGACGCAGGGAGTATGTTTCTGTATGAGAAAATGCAATCAGTTTTGGAAAAAGTTAGTACAAATTGATCAAATGCAAAAAAAAAAGATTTTTGAAGAACCGATACAGTTGGAGGTTTTGGATCGATCTAATGCTAGCTAGCATTGCGGGATAACACACACACACATATATATATGGGGGAGTAAGTGGCTGATCAAGTTTGTTATTGTAGTATTAACTATTATATGTACATGTGAGAAAATGTGTAGTAATTACCGATCGATTTTCTTCAGTAACACTATTAGGTTTCGATGTGAAATATTTATGTTATTAATTTATAACTATTTCTGTGTATGCAACTATCGCAGTTTATTTCTGCGTATATATGTCCAGAACTTAACCCTAGAAAATATTTGATTTCATGTTTTCGAGATTTCATGGGAAATCATGTTGCTAAGTTATTACTGAATTATCAAAACTGATATGATCGTAATAATAACTTAGTGACATGAAAGCTAAAAAGGCAAAAAAAAAATGTGTGCTTTCATGTTTTCAAGATTTCACTAAGTTATTACTGAATTATACAATGTAATATGGTCATAAGAAGATTTGATCACTTCATGTGATGGATGCATTATATGAGTACACATATCTTTGTAAATATTTTGATTACATAGATGTGCTTGCATAACTACATGATATTAATTAGATACATATTTTGAATCAATAAATATATATGCACCAAATTATGCATTTCAGATGAGCTAAAACAGTTTTCTAATCAATCCATGTGTTTGAACAAAATTAAATCTTTTATTTCTAGCCTAAAGTTGAGTTCAGAATGGTAGTAATTTAAATAAAAAAAAGTTGAGTTCAGATGATCATGGCATTCACCTCCGGGACACTATTAATTGCCATTTATCCTAGTAGTATTAGGCCGCAAGACACATCCTTTACTACGCTACTGTGCAATCACTTATATATAAAAATTATTGTTCATTTCATTATAAATTCAGTGCGTTTGATCGACTCTAATTGTGTCAAATTGTTTCCAAACAAAGTTGTGTCAAATTGTGTCTGACCTGTGTGGTCTAGCTAGCTGATCAGTGAACCAGTTAGGATGGGTTTGCAAGGGCTCTAAATGGAGACCAGCCTATTTGCCTTCAAACCCACATTGTCGCAAAATAAATTATCATTACTAATGCTAGGACTAAACAAGAAAAATGAAGCAAATAGTGATCAGATTATAATTTGTTGTTGCTTCCATCAAATTAGGAGTTTTAAATAACAAAGATTTATTGCACACAAACCTTACACAAACGAACTTATCATGATTAATTCGAAACAAGCTAATTAAACTAGTTGGAGCTAGAGAAACTAACTTTCCAAGTTGATTAACCACAGTGCCAACTATACATCTATACTCCTTTAAAAGTCCCCTCACCACTGCTTTTACAGTTTTTTACAAATATGCTCCTGATTTATTTTTATTTTTTTTGATATTATGGAATAGTCCAAATATTTGGTTCAAACAAGTAAATACCATATATTCAAACAAGTAAACAAGTGATACTAACATATTCGATAATTTTAAAATATCTATTGCATATTATAATATATTTTCTTTTATCCATAGCAAAGCATGGGCATTAATTTTATCTAAGTAATACCTGTATGTAAGACATGTCAATACCAAAATTCTGCATGTCCTTGACATGGACGACGCTGCGGAAGATGTAGCGGCGGACCTTGAGGAGTTGGTGGCTCGGTTGATCATGTTTGCAGTGTGGGCATATTGTCTTGAGGCAGTTGGTGCAGAAGATGCTTTCCTCAGCCCTATGTGTATTTTCAAGCTGATCATGCACGTCACACTTCCTCCAGAATGCGGTTCTCAGCAGTACGTTTAGCCATAGGGGTGACTCATCATCATCATCCATGTTCTTGAACCACTCTGATGTATCAGCCAGTAGATTCAATTGTTGCAAACTGTTTTCCTCTTGGTTGTTGTTGTCTACCAGTACTGGTTCCTCTGGTGCCATACTAATTTCTTCATCCCTCTAGAATTCATCATGATAAAGATCGAGTTATTAATCGATCATATGTGGACATCTTGAACAGTTTATAGTAAATGTGTGAAGGCACAATACAAATGACAAGAATTCAACAGCTATTTGTTTAGAATGGAATTAACAGGAATACAATTATCAATCTTCAAGTATTAAAGAAATTTTGAAACATATGCAAAGTGATATCATGAATTAATCAGCGCAGAAGTAAAAAAATAATAATGTAGAAAACTTTGGTGGAAATCGTTGGAATTTTTTTGACTTTTGAACAGCTGTTCAGTATTGCTGTCTTATAGGTGGCATAAGGGGCCAATTCCCTATATGCCCATGTAATTTCACCCAATCCCTTCTACGCCCCTGAAATTTGTTTGATCTCTTATATACCCCTGAGTTTTTATTTGGATCCCTTACATACCCATTCCGTTAGTTGACCATTAGTTTGACCGTTAGTTATTGTAGAAATTACTTTATTGTCCTTGTTATATTGTTAAAAGCTAGAAATGTTTTATGTGTAAATTATTTGAGTTGTGAAAACCAATAAGGAATAAATTACTAAATATTTGTTATGAATTTTTGAAAATAAAACATTATTTCATTAAAATAAAAAAAATTTTATTGTAAAAAAAAGTTCTGCATAAGATTTGAAAATTACTTTTCAACAAATATTTAGTGAAAAAAGATTCGTTGTGAAAAAACAAAGGGGATATAATTAGTTTATCACAAATTAGAAAACAAATTTAAAATTTTTAAATAAATTTCAGATCAAATTTGATGAATTTCGTATATCTTCCCAAAAATTTAAACCTAAATAACATTTAGTTTTTGCTCTTAATTTTCTGGTGAAACTAATGTATGGATTTAATCATAATTTTTAAAAAATAAAAAATAATAAGTTTTATTTTTTAAGTTGGGCATTAAATGATTATATTGCTTGTATTTTGTATAAGTTTATTTTTCATATGAAAATTTATTGGGTAGGTACCACACATATGTATAGGATGGGTAATATAGTCATTTTAAAATATTTAACGGTCAACTAATGGTCAACTAACGGAGATGGGTATAGAGGAGATCAAAATGAAAACTCAGGGGTATATAAGGGATAATGTCAAATTCAGGGGTATTGAAGGGATTGAGTAAATTTTCAGGGGTATATAGGGAATTTTCTCGGCATAATAGTATTCTTTTCTGAAATTTTATATAGTTTTGCCACATTTCTTACACATTCTCTGAGGATTTTCTGGCTTTCTGTTACTTCAAGGTTGTGCTCAGATTAAATATCCAAGCTTGCACAAAGATTGCATTGGTCCATTAGTGCATATTAATTTGGAAATCTGATATATTTTTTGAGTAAATTTTACTTTGGTTATCTTTATTAACCAAAGTTTCACAATAGACCAAGAGCAGACCTAACTGTCCAGGACACTTAACACCACATAGCATTACCCTTTTTGCACCACTTTGGACTAGGGTTCATAATTTGGGCCTTCATCCCTGCTTCAACCAAGCATGTGCGAGTTTTTCTTTTGAAACCGAGCATCATGCGAGTTAAAAGATCTGTAGGGTAGCAAACAAAAACACAAAAGTGCAATGATTTGTTGTTGCGATTGGGTATTTCACAAAGGTTCAAGTTAAAAACAAAGAGAACAATTTACTATTTTGGTATTCACACTGACAAGGGCTTTGGGGGTGGAATCCCTCCAATTGATCCTTGTGATTTATGCCAGAAAAAATCCAAACTTTGTAGCACAACCCACGTTTCTTGGACCAAAGCCAGCTTGGCAGCCCTAAGTTTTCAAACCCCAATCCAAAGTGCAAAGGATGGTAAAAAAATGTGGTGTTTAGTGAAAAGATGGACTTGCCCACTCAAAAAAAAAGAGAGAGAGATAGACTTTGTCCATAATCCATTGTGAAACTTCGGTAAATAAAGGTGAAATTTACTTTTTTTTCACAAAGTTTAAAATTAAATGTGATACTACTACGTAATCAAAGTATTGTGGCACTTGGCTAGTGCTTGGATTTTAGTTGGATATTAGCAAGGGTAAAAGCTTTTTGTGGGATTCATGGATTAATTAAACTTTATTATGAAGAAGTGTCCAGTAGTTGAGAACTATATATCCCATGTATACAAAATAGTGGTAAAAGTGTTCTCCGATTTCAATTCAATCATCCTATTAGTATGTTCTTGGAGTTGACTAGTAATATATTTGTTTGATTTAAGGTGCAAGACCATTGAGATTATCATAAATTATACGGTACTACCTTCGTCCCATTATTTCTTACAGGTACTTGTCCAGATGCATAGCCTCAATTAAAAGAAATCATTTTGGGACGGCGGGGTAGCAATTTAACAGTAGATTTAAAATCTATATGAATTCAACAAGGGACCAAATCAGAAGGAATCAGTCAGATCCCATGTGACCAGACTAAAATTGTTGGTCGGTTGAGGACATGTAGATAAACAACCGCTTAAAATGAAACAATTTTTCAGGACGTCCTCCACACACAAACAAGCAGAATATAAAGAACACTTACAGTAAAACGAAATAATCAGCAATGAAGTTAAAAGCATTTCATATAAATTTTCTTTCAATGGAGTACTCTTATTTACCTTCTCACTTGGAGTCTCACTTGCAGCGGAGTTGCTGCTACCGCCGGGAGAAGGAAACATGTTGGTAGTAGGAGCTTACTGCTCCAATGGCTAACTGTGGATTGCATCTATAAGCCTAGGGAGCAGGAATATATAGGGAGAAAATTAACATAAAACAACATGGCCCAAAATTAATAAATTAAGTAAATTCAATGCAATGTGTAACGTTTTAATTTAAACAGTGGACTTGAAGCCTTATCTCTCCATTCTCCCCTATTAATTCTACGAGCTGTATCTCTCAGATACTTCTAAACATAGTCATTGCAAACGAGGAAGACTCATCATCAGTACAATAAATCCATTTAATTACCTTGTGCCAAAAAATGAGCTGTGTACGTATACACTTACTGAGCACTCAATTGCCACCTGCAGGCAGCGGAAACTTTTTAATAAGTACGCTATTTTGACTGGAAAACATAAGTACAACACTTATCTCTAACACAGTTGTCATGCAGCGTATTTCTGAGCCATATACATATATATGGAGCTTATCACTTAAGAGGAACAATTAATTACGGTATGATCATTATAATCAATTAATCATAGGCTTAAACATATATTGATCCCTTCTGCTCGGCCAATCACGAGTGTCGTATATTCGATCAACACATAAAACATGTACACTATGATCCTGATAATTAATGTCATTTTATGCAGCTGATGATATGGAGTTCACCATTATACCCGTGCGTCGCATATATCATCACCCAAAATTGCAGTGAGAGCAACAACTAATCGAAATAAGTGCTCGATTGATGAGCAGCTTTGGAAGCTTCCTAATGTTTTTGTTCTGTTGTTCCGGTCAAATTTGCATATTAATTCAGCTATTTCAAATTGTTGCCAGGTAGTAGTTGCAATTTGCGCCATGTTGTTTTTTTGTGATTTATTACCACATCACCTGTTCCTAAGCTCCTCCTAGCCATCCCCTCGTGTAAGCGTGTGTGATAGTCTACTGGCGAAGGGCGCAGGGTTCAGGCATTATATTTAATTAGTCTTAAAAAAAGGTAAAGATATATTTAGCGTGCTTTCAGTAAGATTATATATTGGTGGAATTACAACTTAGCTTGGATTAACATGCAGCTAGTAAAAGGATGGAGTCATGCATGTTTCTTTTAGGAAAATTAATCTTCTTGATATATATTGGGTCAGCCATTTAAATTGGATCCAATTGAAATGCATTCCGGTCAAGTATATAGCATTTGGTGTTTTGGTATGTGGCCATGGATTTTTTTTAATGGGTTACATATATATGCGTGCTGTGTGCACATCATCAGTTACTACTCCCTCAAGTATTTTTTAAGGTAGATACAAATATTAAGAAAGTAGGTGAAAATGATTGGAGGAATGATGTGATTGGTTGAGAAGAGAAAATAGGTGAAAAATTAAAAGAAGGGTTGTGGTTGATTGAGAGGAAGGGGCATGTGGAGAATTAGCTTTATTTTGGAGTAAGTTACTTTATTGTATTAGAAATAGTTATATTTGAAGATGAAAGTATAATAAGTTTGTACAGTATTATTGTGCTCACGTAGAAAGTAGCAAATTGGATTCATCACAAGATCGACAGCCCGGCTGGGTAGAGCAATTTACTTGGATTATTTAATCATGATGACTACTGTTGTCTAAATTTGGTCATAGTTGGCCGTTTACGAAACTAAACAATGCCAGTAGGTGACATGCCCACATATATTCTTCGTAAGGATCTGCGTATATTTTCCCTATTAATTAGAGCATCTCTATGGAGTAGGTATGAAAACGAATCAGAAAGGGATGGAAACCAGCTCTACTATATTCATTTTTATTTTTCTTCATCGGAATCGGAATCGATAATACGGATACGTAAACAAAATCGAATATTATCAAGTACAGATATTGAGAGAATACAAAATAAAACGAATACGATAACAAATATTTATCGGATTAGAAAATCCCCTCAAATTGAGCTTTTTGAATCAACGAAGAGATATAGCATTATTTTTCTAAAATAAAACCAACATTTCTAACTATTGTATCGTCGATTTCCCTATATGGTTATATAACCGTTTGTGAAAATCGAACTTTATAGTCGATTCCTTTAAGAGGCACGTATGTAAAACTGATTTTCACTTCCTGGTCCCTTAATTTCACCCAAGATATCATCCTCCTCATATAGTTTACTTGCCATCTCACGTATCTTGCTCTTGCTGTCTAGATTGAAGATACTGTTTATTTTATTTCACCTTTCTGGAAATAGTAATGTTTGTTATGCCCGGATCCCACGATGCCCCCATCCACCACACCGGCGGTTGGATCTGCCACGCCACCGTCTGAGACCCCATCCCCGACCACTCTCCCAGAGGCCCTCCTTTCCGCATCACCCGCCGGCCTCACCAGCAAGGCCCACCTTCCCCACGCTGACTCCACCAATCAGGCTCTTCCTTGCGTTGCCACACACCTCCACTCCCTCCCCCGGTCCACCCCAACCACTGTCCAGCGCATCTCCCTTCACGCGCTACTGCCAATGCACCGCACCATCACCGCTTATTCTCCCTCCACGCAACGCCGCCGCTGCCGCTCTCTCCTGGTGCTACTGTCCCGCTGATGAGGACATCACTCCTTTTAATACACACACTACCTCTCAAATTGTTATGCAAGATCCAATTACTAGAGCTCGCGCCCGACAATTGAATTTATAGGTGAGCTCGTTCCTAAGTACTTATTTATGTGCTTTTGATGATAGATTGCTACCTAATGATTTAATTATGATAGGAACTATAGAGAGGATTATGGAGTACTTGGAGAGAGGCTAAGAGATGGACAAAGTCGTCATGGACATTGAAGCCGAGATGAAGGTCCAACTCATATCAAGTTCATGTCCACCTCAGGCTCCAGGAGCAGTCCACACTAAAATTATCACCGAGATTGCATTTGGACTCCGATTTCGACGTCGAAATGGATATGGTCCTACATCAAAATTCTTTCCGAGTCAATGAGAATTGTCAAAACAAAAAGGCGTTCAGAATCAGTCTAGGTGCTACGTCACCGTTTTTGGGTCCGTTGGGTTATGTATCATGTTGGAGTCCAATAGGGATGTGTCCATGAGTCCAAGGTCGACCCTATAACCTATATATTCAGTAGTTGTCATTGTGTTAGGGTTGGGTTTTGCTTAGATTATTTTTGCTATTACAGTTTCGCTGCTAGTTCGATTTGTGGAACCTCAACTTCGAGTTCTTGATTAATCATTTATCTGTAATTAAGTTGTTGTCTTTCTTGCTCTTGCTTGTGTTTTTCAATTCACACGCAGGGATTAGCCTTCTCAACGAGGTCAATCGGGTTTCGGCACGATTAATAACCAAAGGAGACGTGGCGCTGCGATTGCAGGGTTTAGATCATGTTGATCGTGTGTGTCAAGTTTCCACTAAATCGATAACTATCTTCACTTCACTTGATGGAAGGTCGAGCATCCCGTTGCCATCAAGTGGTATCAAAGCTTTAGGTATACCGTCAGTTTCGTCTTTACCCTTGTATTATTTTTGCTTTCATCCAGTAGTACACGAAAAAACCAAAAAATATAGTAGTGTTAGGTTTATACCTATCCTTTAACCACTTTTAGTATTTTGCATAATTTTGTTTCAGAGTCCATAGTGTTGAGTTTGTGTCCTATGTCAAGTTAGTGGTCACTGGTTTAGATTCGCATTCGTAGTTCTAGATCTACCTGCTGCTTTGTGCGAAAGGCTGCCTTGAGATCGAGTTCTACTCAGTTTCAGATTGCTAGCCGTCTTGTGTTAATAACCCGTTTTCACGAGCTTTATTAGATAGGTCGCAAACCACCTTATGTTAGTCGCATAACCTATTACTCCCACTGTTTTACAATGTAAGTTATTTTAGCATCTCCCACATTTATATTGATGGAATGAATCTAGTCAAATATATATGTCTAGATTCATTAATATCAATATGAATGTGGGAAATAATAGAATGACTTCCATTGTGAAACGGAGGAAGTATGTGTTTTTTAGTGGAAGGTGCAACAGGGTGTACACCTTGCGAAAGTACTATTTTCTCCATCCATCTTACCGTTGTTATAACTTAGAAATGTAGATAAAGTTTTATATGTTCAAATCCTAACGCACATGTCTTTGATCATATTTGGAGGTAAGAAACGTAAGGAACAGCTGGTACGGTGCTTGAATCCCATCCCAGAATCTAAATTGAGAACCTAGATTGTTTGATAAAATGAAGATTTTATGAGTAGCTGCGGGTATTTAAAGCTGTGCGCCACTACCGCAAATTAACAGCATATGACCTGCGCAATCTACAACTCTCTCCAAATTCCATTAACCGGTGAGATTTCTCGTTTAGGAAACTAAGATTTCAAGTCAGACCATCTCACATACAACCATTAAATAGCCGACGTTGGAGAATAATTTTAAAGGCTCTTTCGCTTTTCTTTTCTTTTCTTTTTTTCTTTTCTAACTTGATCATATTCTGTCTGCCGTTCGAATGAACTAAGCTTTCTTTGCGCTTGCTCGCACACAATCCCATCTTAGGGGGCCAACAGCACAACGCAAGACAAGCATGTACACACAGGTCTACAACATACATTAAACTATGTTTATAACTTGGCAATATATTGGATATAAGCCAAGAACAAGAACTCTGCCCTTAATTGTTGGGTGAACGATATCTCATTCTATGGAAACCTCCGGTTTAGGTATGAAGTTATTCAGAAGATGTCCCGATGGAAGTGCCCTGGAATCGAGTTGGCTTGCTGAGCTTGCCTAAGATGCATGGACAGTGCATAGTTGTTTACCTGCACAGCAAGAAAATGAATAAAATAAAACATCGGTAGCCAGAACCACTTATGATGCTTCAAAAAGGGCCAATAAACAAGAATAGCGAAAACAACTAAGATTGTTATACCTCCAGGCTTCTAATTTGCTCTTGGTACTGAGCAACCAGCTGCTTGAGTTGCTGAATCTCCTGGTTTCTCCCATCATGCTCCTTTTGGCGCTCGTGCTGAATTGCAACGGCTTTCTTTAGAATAGTATTTTCCCTGGTTATTGCTTCAAACTGTTCCTTATACACAGAGCTTTCCTGTTTGAAAGTAAGAATATCAGAGAGAAGTTAATTTATTTTAAAACTTACCATCAAGTGTTCTCCATAGTAAACAATAGATTATAATCAGCACAAATCTGCAGTGCAATTCAGTTCATAACCATTGGAAGTTAATCCTCTGGAAAGCATCCAAATAAAAGATGTTAAAAGTCTACGTGGTAATCCATCATAGATATTCATGATGTTTGATCCCTCAAGGGGATGTCACCTCGTTGTTTGCATCAGTCAAATAATTATGAAAACAAATTGAGAAGATGTATTAACATGTGATATACTCCACAAACATGCAAATTCAAATTCAACTTATACATCTCGCAACGAAAAAAAAATTAAACTACAGCTAGTTAACACATATTCAGTCAAATTTGTTTTTTTTTCTTTGCGAGATGTAGAAGTTGAATTTGAACTTGTATGTTTGTGAAGTGATAACATGTCAATACATCTTCTCAAATTTTTTTCAATTTTTTTTATAACTTTTTAAGTGACATGCAAACAACAATAGGACATCCCCTTGAGGTATCAAAATCCACTCCCAACTCATACATCCAAGTCAATCCATGTTTTGGCATCCCCAAAAGTTATTTAACTAGCCTAGTAACAATAGTTGGTATATGGCTATATGCTTGATCAAATGTGTCCATATTTTAGAATCGGTCCTCAAGATTTGAAGTTTTCTGCTGGCCAAAGTATCATTTTGCTTCTTTTTTTTTACATTTAGTTTATCCATCTATATCATGTCCTGGAGAAGTATGTAAAACCCAGAGTTGCCAAAATGTGCTCATATGTTTAAAATGATTCTCCACTCAAACAGTTTTTCGCTGACCACTAGGTTACCCAGTAGGAACAACGATACCTTGGTAACCTAGAATGGACAAGGATGAAAGAACACGACAATATCATAACCACATCAAAGGTCAGATAACTATAGGGGTGAAAACGGAGCGGATATTATCCGATCCGATCCGAATCCGTCCGATGTGAGGATATGGTAAGGGTTGTTAGATATCCGGCCGGATGCGGATGCGGATGCGGATTTTGTCATGCGGATGCGGATGCGGATGTGGTATCAATGATATCCGACGGATTCGGATTATCCGATTTTTTAATCGGATTATCCGATATAGTGTTTGGCGGATAATCCGCAACTTTCAGGCCCATCTAGCATTCTAGCCCAATAACCCATCTATTCTAACCCTAACCTAATCCTTCCTCTCCTCCCCCTGTCCCCCAGATCGGCAGATCCCTCTCTCTCTCTCTGACTCTCTCTCTTTCTCCCGTCAGCTCTCAGTCGTAGGGGAGTGGGCGAGTGGCGGCGCGACGGCGAGTCGACCCAGCGCGACGGCGACCCAGCGCCGGCCGGCCGCTCCTCCTTGGCTGCTAGCGCCGCCGCCGCTCCTCCTCGGCTGCAGTACAGGCTGGTGGCGCCGCTGCCATTCGTCCTCGCCTCCTCGGCTCCTCGGCGCCGCCACCACTCCGTCCACTGTCGCCCATCAGCACGTCTCCAGCGCCGGGCCGCCAGTGCACCGTCACATCCCCGTCACCAGCCCAGCCGCCATCCCTGTTGGCTGTCGCCAGCAGCCATCCCCGTCGTGGCGTCGCCACTCGCCAGCCACCACTGTCGTCAGCCGTGCCGTGTCGTCGTCGTGCTGTAACTGCTCGAGGCCTAGAGCTGCAGCTGCTGTTCCAGTCCAACGACAAGTCGACGATAGATTAGGTATTGTTTTCTTGTACACTTGCAGTCCAATTTGAAGTATCAAATTTGGGATTTACTGATTTAGAAATGTAGAGATGAGCTTTGCTTACGGAAATTACGTCAATAGCAAGTTATAATTTGATTAATTGTTCATCATTCATTAGGATCGTAAAAAATGGCACCTAGAAAAAGAGGGGCAAAAGCAGCAGCTGCTGCTACTGCTACTGAAAGTAGCATTGCTGCCTCGTCGCCAGCTCCAGCTGAAGGGGAAGAAGGGCCATCAACTGTGGGCAGTGGCAATGAAAGTCCCAACACTATTGTTGTTGTTGATGTGGATAACATTGCTGGCTCATATGCTGCATGCAGCATGCATGTCGTACTGAACTACTGATGAGTGATGACTTATAAGTTATATTGTTAAATTTTAAGCAATGCAGTGACCAGTGACTAATGAGTGATGGATGTATCTTGGATTATTTTGTTGGATGTGTTATATTAAGCAAAATTATATTATTGATGTGTTTTGGTTGGTTTTTCCTAGAGAACTGAGATCATGTTTAGATGTTATTTTGCCATCGTATTGCGGCTAATTGTATTGGCGTCCTCTTGTTGTATGGATTGAATACAAACTTGACATCCGACAACTTTTTGTCCGTTTCCGAACCGACTCCGCACCGACTCCGCACCGAATCCGACGTCCGAAATAATCCGCTCCGCATCCGCATCCGCACGTCATCCGCACCCGCTCCGCATCCGTTTAAAAAAAATGGTTTAGGATATGGTATAGCTATTATCCGTCCGAATCCGATCCGTTTTCACCCCTAGATAACTAGCAAGCAGCCCTGAAAGTTCTGAAGCACTCTTGGAAGGGATTTGAATTACCTTCTGAAAGCTCCCCATTGCACCAACATGAGCGGTCATGGACTTCTCAAACACCTCCAATACTCTAGAGGCACGAGCCTTTGCATCATCCATGTTAGAGGCATTAGTCATCTCGTTCACAAGAATCTCAACCCACTGGGTGCTGCTTGATGGAAAGTTATCAGCGCAGGGAGCATTTCCTATAGGTACAGCAGCTTCATTACCAGCCAAAATACCTGGACCATAAAGCAACACATCTGCCATACTTAATAATATTCTTCAGAACAATATTCTCAAAGTGGTCAAATTGGTTAATGCTAACAGGAGTTCTATTCTATGCCTAGAACTAAATTTGAAATACTGAGTTCGAAAGCATAAGTTTGTTGGTGCACTATACAGAAGAAGTTACAAAGGATGCAAAGTGAAAAGCATATAATAAAACGATATTTTATCTCAAGTTGTACAGCAATAGCCATGCAACTTTAGTTGAAGTCTTGGAGATCCAAAAGCATTCAAGTCAGCACCTCAAATAAAGAAAAAACATATGGTTACAAAATTGCTTGATAGCATGCAGAGCATATTAAATGGAAGACGTTAAAAACTAAATTTTGTATTGGAATCTTGCTTGATCAAACGTTGAAATCAGATGAGATTTCAGAGAAAGGAGATGGCAAGAGTCAGGTCTAGGGAGGAGAGGGGATCTAGAGGTTGTGAGATGCACAGAATAAAGGAATTGAAATATTTTCTATACGGGTGATTGAATTAATGAGCAGCCTTTTCTCATTGTGCCAATGCCTTTTTTTTGCTTAGTAAATATGATTATTCACACTACATAGTTGAATAATCTTTTGTGCCTACATTAGTGCATGAGTCTTTTGTGATTTCAAATAATTCAAATATACCAATCAAATCCTTGAATCCTATTTTCCCTAGGCTACCATATCAGACACTCGTGCCCAAGTTTGACACTTGCACCACAATCATGCGTTCAATGAGATAAAACTGTGTCACTAATTTCATAGAAAGCCATGCTCCAATTGGAAAAGTTGTTGTGAATAACAAAGCTAAGAAAACAGATCCGTATTGTATTACAATTCATCATTAGACAATCTAACATTGGCACTGAAAAACTGATTCCATAGGGTCTGTTCACAACACAGGAATTTTGCAAGAATTCTCAAGACAGTTTGATAATGAAAACCCTCAGGAGTTTGGACACCTAAGATGGTATCAACATAACATCATAGAAGATAGAAGTCTTATAGATGGTATCAACATAACATCATAGAAGATAGACAACATCCAGAGGTCCAAAGTTTACCTTCATCAGCCACTTGAAGCTCAGTAGACATTCCTGATGGAGATTGATAAATAGGATCCACATTACATTCTGTGGGTCCTACATGCAAATTGAACAAGAACTTTATTGCTGAATCAAAATCGTTTTCACATTCCTCCAACGCGTTCTCAATAACCTGCAGGAACAAAAGTTTCCATAAGGTTTAAGTTACTAAATCGTTAAAAAGCTCCAACAAGTGAACATACTTTGAATATGTTGACGAATTGTATCTAGAAAGCTGACAAACACAAGTGAAAATCTTTAGTGGTCAGGTTAAGGAAATTTTACCAGATATTGTAGGATATTATGCTTTGTTATAACAACAAGCACATTGTTCAGAGAATCCAAACGAACAGAAAAAAATGACTATCTGAACAAACAAAAAAATATGGTAACATACCATTCCCGCGAGTGGCCATTTTAAGAAAAGAGGAAAGCAACCATATAAGGCCCATAGATGCTTCATAGAATTGCTGGCTATAATTCTTATATGAATAATACGTTTTTCTAGGCAACAAAAACTTTTCTGGGAAGAGGTGTGCGCGGATCGCAAGGATCGGCATCAACGGACAAAAGGATAACAAATTAATAAATGCTCCGATGCACTCCAGATTCCCATCAGTTAAAAGCCATTAATGTAAGTAAGTTCTCAATATCTACCAGTTCCGCTCAAAAACGACAATCGACAGTTCCCAAAGAAAACAATGACTAAACTAAAATAATAAATACAAATCCATGCATAGAAAAAATTGCTATCACTCCAAGGAAAAAATGAACTGTAACATAAACCAAGTCACCATTCTCAAATAAATCCTAACACAAACCCTAACCAGGAACAAAGTCTGCGAGACCTGCATTCCATAATTGAAGAAAAAATATAGGAACACAGAAGCCACATTTATTTCGTCAGGAAACTAGAAAATTGCAAGATTGGAACAAAACAAAGAGATCGCTAAATGATTAGATTACATGTACATATGGTAGCTTTGCTGCAATTCCATCTAACCTTTAAACCTAGCAATAGCAAGCGGCACAGACAGCACCACGCATAATCATGAGCAGGATGTGCTTGATTGGCTCACCCCTTACATAGCAACAGCACCAGCACCAGGTACTACTTTGGGACCAAAGATTAAACTTCCATCTCAAATCATAACACGCATGACTGCTAATTTACGAGGGAGACGAGCAGACGGCATCACCTCGAGGCCGACGGAGGGGAACCGCGGGCGGATCTGGGCGACGAGGGCCGGGTCGGCGAGCGGGCGGGAGGGCGAGGAACCTCCACGGAAGCAGGCGCGCTTGGAGGGCGGGGAGGACGGCGAATGGGGGAGGTCCTCGAAGAAGGAGGAGGCCCGTTTGCCGCACACCGCCGCGGACATGGTGCCCGCCGCCGCCGCCGCGCCTCGCGTGGTAGGCGCGTTAGGGTTAGGGTTAGGGTTTGGTGGGAGGTGGAGCGGAGCAAGGCCCAGGAGAAATGGTTGGGAGGGGAGAATGGGAATCGGAGGATGCGATGCTTAACGGCGGTATACCGCCTTTGCGAGTGCTACCAAAGGCGTGGGGGATGCGTTGCGTTGCGTGCTTCCGTTGTCCTGCTTTTGCACCTTGCTTCACACTGCCTCAACCAAAAACGCTAATCCTTTTTTTTCTTTCTTGCGTAGAACTTTGGATTTATTTAGTGCAAACTTGTGTTTTTATCACCACTTTCAATTTCTGCTTTCTCGTTTTCTTGCACGCTTCTCAAATCACTAAATGATTTGTTTTCTAGAAAAATTTACTTTAGAAAATCATATTAATCTATTTTAAAAGTTTATTTTTGCTAATGCTTAATTTATCATGCGCTAATAGATTACTCCGAATACAACCATAGTACATGGATTAGTGCTAGACGCTTTTAGACGCTTTTATGAAGAGAAGAGCTATGAAACGGTATATTGTCAGGACGGTACAAGTTATGCACGACATTAAACCGTCCAACCCAGCATCGCTATAAACCACCCATCTCTCCTCCCGCATGGGTCCCACGAGCCCCACGGATTAACTCTTTGCGCATGCAGTACTAGTACAGTCGTACTCCGTACTATACTACTGTCTGCCATATACTAATGCATGCACTAGTAGTATAGGAAGAGGAGTACATGCACTACCAGTCAATTATTGTCGCTGTCTAACGGTCTAATACTACTCCTGCCTTGATGATGCCATATGCATCAAATCGAAGTTAAAGTTGCCAATGCCAATGAGCAAGAGAAAATGACTTGATTCTCTATTGCTATATGTGATCCTATGTGACCTGATGATGAATGGTCCTGTTTCAAGGGTAAAATAGCGTGAGTATATGAGTCGTATCTAGGTATCATGTCTGGTACCTACATGTATCACGACTGATATCTGGGTATCATGTATGGTAAGTATCAGACTTGGTAACTACATGTATCACGACCGGTACCTAGGTATCATGTCTAGTCTAGTACATATATAAGTATCAGATCTGGTACCTACATGTATCATGTCTGGTACCTACATGTATCACGACTGATACCTGGGTATAATGTACGGTACTTATAAGTATCAGACTTGGTAACTAAATGTATCACGACCGGTACCTGGGTATCATGTCTAGTACATATATAAGTATCAGATCTGGTACCTACATGTATCGTGTCTGGTACCTACATGTATCACGACTGATACCTAGGTATAATGTATGGTACTTATAAGTATCAGACTTGGTAACTATATGTATCACGACCGGTACCTAGGTATCATGTCTAGTGCATATAAGTATCGGGTCTACCTACAGGTATCAACCTAATACATATATGTATCATGCTTAGTACCACAAATTCTAGAGCTATCAGGTATCATAAGTGATACCTTAGTATCAGACTGGGTATATGTTAAAACTGAGACCCACGTATACCAGCTGATATGTGCTTGGTTTGCTACCCACATGTATTATGATAGGTACTTTACGATACTTTCGAGGTACTATTATAGATAGTCATATTTTGACATGTAAAAAATAGTATCATAATATAAGATACTGAGGTACCAGCCCAACCACTGAGTATAGCTATAATAACAACAGCATGTATAGCTAAGCACGCAATTACAGAGGAGTTTGTAGTAATGTGTGACCAAAAGGATAGGCATTCATAATCTATGGGTGTATAAGTGAGGAGCACTTGTCATGTCATGCATGGCAGATTGCGCAGAGTAGTAGTAATTAGCTAGTGTTGTGAATTGCTTCCCAAAAAAAAATATACAGTATCCACGACCAGCACTAGCACATGCACGCAATCAGATGCGCACCGGCCATGCGCATTAGGGTTGAGGTGTCTGACTAATGATTATGCCATTCCAACGGTATACCATGGGTTAGCAAGCCTCTTTATGAATGTAATTAGTTTACCATGTGTATTGCCATGATAAATACTATGTACATGCTCCCTTTGATAAATTGCACTTTACATCGGGTGGATGGCGCTTATTTCATTTTACACCGGATTTGACGCATTTTTTTATAACTTAAACAGCTTTATTAAATTAAAGAAGACAGAGTTCAGGGTATACACCCTAGTACATCGCATAAGGATACAAATCATGGAAAGTAACAATCTCTAACAATGTGGAGCCTAACTAAACTAAAGAAGCAAACTTTCAGATGAGACTAAACAGCAGTAAAGGATCAGATTGACAGAGCTCTACGGCGTCGCTGCGACAACTGAATGCTTGGGCCTTCGATGACATGCACACCTCTTGACAGACTGGAAGGCTCCTACGGCTGTCACCACAGAAACGACACAATTCGAAGGTTAGTTGCTGAGTCGTAGATTTTGGTGTAGGCGTCACCCGACTCAACAAAGAGGTTCCACAGAGTTCACCATTAAATCTGAGGAGCAAAAATTGCTCAACCCGAACGATAAACCCTGCATGGATACTGTTGTTTTGAAACAAAAAGAAGCTTGATTCCAAAGAACAAGTAGCCAATATCACAAAATTAGGTTGTGTTTGGTTGGGCTTTTCAACTTGCTTTTGCTTTTGCAAAAACCAAAAGCCAACCAAAGGGCCCAAAAGCCACAGTTGCTTTTGCCCAAAGTCAGCTTTTGGTGTAGTACAAATCAAAAGCACCTCTACCCCCTGCTTTTGGGGGAAAAAATTACCCACCTCTGCCATTATGAAAAAAATGGTTCGCTATTCTCTTCCCGTCTCCTCCTCGCAAGTCGCACACGGCCCCGAGCATCGTCGCATCGAGGTTTCCGCCGCCGCTGCCCTCCGGCCGGCCGGCCGCCACCCGTCTGGCCCCGCTCGGCGCCGGCCCCGCCCTTCCCCGCCGGTCGCCGCCCCCGCCCTTCCCAACTGAAGCCGCCCATCCAGACGCCGGCGCGGCTCCGACCCTTCCCCAACTGATGCCGCGCGACGCCGCCCCCGCCCTTCCATGCTGGCGTCGCTGTTGACTGAAAACACGTGGCCTGGTAGATCTGCTTAACTCCAGTGCAGGTCCAAAGCTCGCCTTCAGATGTGTTAGCGTGCCAATTGATTTGATCCTGTAATCAACAAGAAATAAAAGCAAAGAAATCATGGTTAAATCTATAAATGATAGCCGATCGGCCAAATGCCGATGACATATCATTTATCTTTGAGCTAATGTCATCTGTGTATCGATCGGCAGTCATGAATAAGTAAAGAAGAACTAAATCTACTCGATCGGCTGTAGATATTAATGATATATACTCCTTATATCGATGTATACTTAAATCAAGTGATTGGGATAGATCGGTCATCATGCCGAGACAGTATAAATCACTTTGATCGAAATATATATCAATAACAGGACTATATATGTTTATAGCGTAGCCGATCAGATAGATCTAGCATGTATCGGCTAATACTCCGATATTACTCCATATCAGGATATTAAAGCAAGAATAATATATCGAACAAGAGCGTAATATACTTAGACACAGCAATATCTTGATATAAAGGGCAGATTTAACATGTCAATGAAGCACATAGAACAAATAAAGTTAAATCAGATATGATCGGCTAAAACTCCGATGCTATTCCAATCGGCAACTAGAAGGCAGGCTAGAGATCGATATTCTAAGCACGACTTAATAGGTCAAACTCAACTGATACAGCATTAAGTATGAAAAGAAGAACGATATCTAGACAATCAAGCCGCTAGAAGTTTCATAGAATGGTAGATATCTCATATAATCTAGATCAACATCAAGATCTAACCTAATCGGCTGCTTTTTTATGCAGATGTTAGTCAATAATAGATTAGGTGGCAATATTGCTATAGATTATGTAAGATATATGATAACTTGACGAATTATATAAACAAGATTAGAGTATCATAAAGATGGAAGCACTAATCCTAAGAACACAATCCGTCATAACGAATTTTATCTCTTGTTGAAGATCGAAATCGATGCAGCTCAACCCGAAAGCAAAAACTCGTCGAAACAAAACTAAAGCAAAAGGGTGGCGATGCGCCGAGATTGTATTGAACATGTGTGTTGTAAATTACATAGGGCTCGGGTCTATTTATACTCGAGAATTACAAGATATGCCCATACCGGACACGACTATTATCTCTAACAAACTCTAAGATACCATAAGTCTTTGCGGCAGACTTTTGCCCACATTTATCTATAAGAATTTACATAAGATATCCTAATTAATAGATACAATTGCCTTCCCAGGACTCCATCCGTGCGTGGCAATCATCTTGAAGTACATTAACTCGAACCCGATGTCGCGTACAAGTCGTATTGTCGGAATCGGCCATATCGGCTTACTTAGCCTGACCCAGACCTAGCCAATCCTAATCATAGCCGATCTGGACTCCAGCCGATTCTTGCTCTGTTTCCGAACTCGATCTCCGCCTCTGACTTCGCTGTGATCCAATCTTCTTTCCTGACACAGATGTTACCAAATTTGGTCGTTAACACATGCCCCCCAAGTCTGGGATATTTGATAATATTCCGGATTTGCCGTGTACTGACTCCGAGCAAGTTTCGCACTCCGCCGCTTTTGACCGTTATTCCAGCACCTTAAATACTAACCGTTACCCCCGAGAAATCTCATGCCGTGACTTCCGTTTTCACCGCTCAAGTGAAACCTCTTCTTTCTCTTCTCCGGCGATTCCCCCGGCGCAAAGGCAATTTCTAGGCGACTTCCTCCTCGACGAGATCTCCGCCCGCACCAATGTCGTCTTCCGCCAGCCCATCTGGTGCACCATCAACCGAATACGTTGAGGTAAGTTCTTATTGGCTAAATCCCCTTCTTTAGCAGCAGATCGATTTTCTCCTATCTCATATTGCTTTCCTTCTCTTGGTTGCCTTGGATTTGTAGCATCTTTCCTACCAAGTCGCAATTCCTAGTCTAACGCATGAAAACCACTACTCTCTCGGCCCAATCGGCAATCCTGACCCCACCGAGTTCATTATTGGTGAAACCAATAGGATCCCCTTCAGATTAACCAACCCAGATCTAGGTCAATGAAA